AGGTAGGGTTGGTTAGGTTCGGTCATATAATTACGTTAATTTTAACTGCAATAAAAAAAATTGACCTCATACATAATGAAATGGTGTAGCTTTATCATTTCATAAGAAAAAAATTAGAGAAAATATATTAATTCCTGAAAACTTGGCTTATGAGGCAAATCGGGCCTTGCATAGTAGGCTGAGAAGTGAGTTCTGGCTACTAGGTACGACATATATATATATATATATATATATATATATATATCCCCTCAGTATATATATATATATATATATATATATATATATATCTATATATATATATATATATATATATATATATATATATATATATATATATACTGTTAAATATGACCGAAAAAGTGAGATTAATAATTCTAACACGAATTTTCTCAATATTTCTTATGTTTCTTTTTACTGTCGATGGTAATTGAAAAATCAGTTCTCCAAAATTCATTTTTATTTCTAGTCTGACGCGAAGCTTGAACGCGTTTCGTAATAACTTATTACATTTTCAAACACTTTAGTTTACACACACAACTGTAACCTGAAACTAGGTACAACGATACGAAAATCGGGAGGGAAATAAACACGGAAGAAGACTCACTATCACTTCAAGAAGATCTAAACAGGATTTATATAGATAAATAAATAAGACATGTTTTTCTAATTATATTAGACTCCCAATGAGACACTCATGAGTGCCATTTAGATTATGCATTTAACTTTGGACGCCAAACTATAGAATGGTTATAAACTCACCAGAACGCATCCAGCGACGGATGACAAAGATAATCCCGGATATTATTAACTTGTCATAGGAAGAAAGATTGACAAGGCTTACTTTACATTATCTAGAAAGGTGAAGAATTAGGGAGTGACATGATAGAGGGTCACAGGTAGATGAATGGACATAACAAGGGGGATATTAAACAAAGAGGATGACAAACTTAAACAAAGAGGATGACAAACTTAAACAAAGAGGATCTTGACCGTCATACACCTTTCTCACCGTCAAATTGCTCCTTCCTTCTAATCTATCATCCCTTCTCTCTCCCTCCCCTCCACCCCCTTCCTCTCTCTCTCTCTCTCCCTCTCACTTACTCTTACCTCTGTCCCTCACACTCTTCTGACTCTCCCTTCACTCCTTCTAGTAATTTCTCTCACCCGCCATCCGTCCCCTCCCTCTCTCTCTCTCTCACATCTCTCGCCTTCCTCTCCTTTCACTTTCTCTCACATCTCTCCTCTCCCTCTCTTTCTTCCCTCCCTCCCTCTCTCCTCTCCCTCTCTCCCCTCCCACTCCCGGCCCACATAACAGCTTCAGGCGTCGCGTTCGTCATTTACACATTGAACAATATTATGTTTTAACTGTCCGAGTCCAAACAAATGTGACTTTCCTTGTCGAAACAAATATGAATCGTCCAAGGAAAGGGACAGTGTTATGAGGTGAGTGAGCTCACTACTTCATGGATGCTTACTCATCCAGGAGGACAAGTTCCGGAGACACTCATTCATGAGGACCAGCTTCAGGGAGACTTACTCACCCCACCTGAGAGGTCTGTAACCCACCTGAGAGGGCCTGTAACCCACCTGAGAGGGCCTGTAATCCACCTGAGAGGCCTGTAACCCACCTGAGAGGCCTGTAGCCCACCTGAGAAGTCTGTAACCCACCTGAGAGGCCTGTAACCCACCTGAGAAGTCTGTAACCCACCTGAGAGGCCTGTAACCCACCTGAGAGGCCTGTAACCCACCTGAGAGAGCCCGTAACCCACCTGAGAGGCCTGTAACCCACCTGAGAGAGCTATAACCCACCTGAGAGGGCCTGTAACCCACCTGAGAGGCCTGTAACCCACCTGAGAGGTCTGTAAGCCACCTGAGAGGTCTGTAACCCACCTGAGAGGTCTGTAACCCACCTGAGGGACCTGTAACCCCCTGAGAGACCTGTAACCCACCTGAGAGGGCCTGTAACCCACCTGAGAGACCTTTAACCCACTTGAGAGGGCTGTAACCCACCCGAGAGGCCTGTAACCCACTTCAGAGGCCTGTAACCCACCTGAGAAGACTGTAACCCACCTGAGAGACCTGTAACCCACCAGAGAGGGCCTGTAACCCATCTGAGGGACCTGTAACCCACCTGAGAGGTCTGTAACCCACCTAAGAGGACTGTAACCCACCTGAGAGGTCTGTAACCCACCTGAGAGGTCTGTAACCCACCTGAGAGGCCTGTAACCCACCTGAGAGGCCTGTAACCCACCTGAGAGACCTGTAACCCACCTGAGAGGGCCTGTAACCCATCTGAGGGACCTGTAACCCACCTGAGAGGTCTGTAACCCACCTGAGAGGACTGTAACCCACCTGAGAGGTCTGTAACCCACCTGAGAGGTCTGTAACCCACCTGAGAGGTCTGTAACCCACCTGAGAAGTCTGTAACCCACCTGAGAGGCCTGTACCCCACCTGAGAGGCCTGTAACCCACCTGAGAGACCTGTAACCCACCTGAGAGGGCCTGTAACCCATCTGAGGGACCTGTAACCCACCTGAGAGGTCTGTAACCCACCTGAGAGGCCTGTAACCCACCTGAGAGGCCTGTAACCCACCTGAGAGACCTGCAACCCACCTGAGAGGGCCTGTAACCCACCTTAAAGACCTGTAACACACCACCAGTAACCCACCACCAGTAACCCACCACCAGTAACCCATCATATACACTCAGTTTCCAGGCATCATGGTATTCAAAAGGAGATTTCGCTGGTTCAAAGGATTCCTGGTGCTGGAATATGGTGTGAGAGTCCTGGAGTTACAGGATCAATGTGATCTTATCCAGGTTAAGTGTTCCTTAACCCACAACCTTTATCCAGGGTGAGTGACCCTTCACACACACCTTTATCCAGGGTGAGTGAACCTTCACACACACCTTTATCCAGGGTGAGTGAACCTTCACACACACCTTTATCCAGGGTGAGTGAACCTTCACACACACCTTTATCCAGGGTGAGTGAACCTTCACACACACCTTTATCCAGGGTGAGTGAACCTTCACACACCCCTTTATCCAGGGTGAGTGAACCTTCACACACACCTTTATCCAGGGTGAGTGAACCTTCACACACACCTTTATCCAGGGTGAGTGAACCTTCACACACACCTTTATCCAGGTGAGTGTGGGATGGGTTAGTGTTCCGTGGTCAACGTCACCTGCATTTACCGCCCATCTCACCTCCTGGGGCTATTTTTCTGCTTGTCACGCTCAGAGGTTCAGGCTTCGTGAGGGGCTGTGGCACCTCCCTGCCCATCTGTGTGTGTGTGGGGGGGGCTGTGGCACCTCCCTGCCCATCTGTGTGTGTGTGGGGGGGGGGCTGTGGCACCTCCCTGCCCATCTGTGTGTGTGTGGGGGGGGCTGTGGCACCTCCCTGCCCATCTGTGTGTGTGTGTGTGGGGCTGTGGCACCTCCCTGCCCATCTGTGTGTGTGTGTGTGTGTGGGACTATGGCGCCTCCCTGCCCATCTGTGTGTGTGGGACTGTGGCACCTCCCTGCCCATCTGTGTGTGTGTGTGTGGGGCTGTGGCACCTCCCTGCCCATCTGTGTGTGTGTGTGTGGGGCTGTGGCACCTCCCTGCCCATCTGTATGTGTGTGGGGGGCTGTGGCACCTCCCTGCCCATCTGTGTGTGTGTGGGGGGGGCTGTGGCACCTCCCTGCCCATCTGTGTGTGTGTGTGTGGGACTGTGGCACCTCCCTGCCCATCTGTGTGTGTGTGTGTGGGGCTGTGGCACCTCCCTGCCCATCTGTGTGTGTGTGTGGGACTGTGGCACCTCCCTGCCCATCTGTGTGTGTGTGTGTGGGGCTGTGGCACCTCCCTGCCCATCTGTGTGTGTGTGTGTGGGGCTGTGGCACCTCCCTGCCCATCTGTGTGTGTGTGTGTGGGACTGTGGCACCTCCCTGCCCATCTGTGTGTGTGTGTGGGGGGCTGTGGCACCTCCCTGCCCATCTGTGTGTGTGTGTGTGTGGGGCTGTGGCACCTCCCTGCCCATCTGTGTGTGTGTGTGTGGGGCTGTGGCACCTCCCTGCCCATCTGTGTGTGTGTGGGGGGGGCTGTGGCACCTCCCTGCCCATCTGTGTGTGTGTGTGTGTGTGTGTGTGGGACTATGGCGCCTCCCTGCCCATCTGTGTGTGTGTGTGTGTGTGTGTGTGGGGCTGTGGCACCTCCCTGCCCATCTGTGTGTGTGTGGGACTGTGGCACCCTCCCTGCCCATCTGTGTGTGTGTGTGTGTGGGGCTGTGGCACCTCCCTGCCCATCTGTGTGTGTGTGGGGCTGTGGCACCTCCCTGCCCATCTGTGTGTGTGTGTGGGGCTGTGGCACCTCCCTGCCCATCTGTGTGTGTGAGACTGTGGCACCTCCCTGCCCATCTGTGTGTGTGTGTGGGGCTGTGGCGCCTCCCTGCCCATCTGTGTGTGTGGGGCTGTGGCACCTCCCTGCCCATCTGTGTGTGTGTGGGGCTGTGGCACCTCCCTGCCCATCTGTGTGTGTGTGTGTGGGACTGTGGCACCTCCCTGCCCATCTGTGTGTGTGTGTGGGGCTGTGGCACCTCCCTGCCCATCTGTGTGGTGTGTGTGGGGCTGTGGCCTCTCTGCCCATCTGTGTGTGGGTGTGTGTGTGGGACTAAGGCGCCTCCCTGCCCATCTGTGTGTGTGGGACTGTGGCACCTCCCTGCCCATCTGTGTGTGTGTGTGGGGCTGTGGCCCCCCCTCCTGCCCATCTGTGTGTGTGTGTGGGGCTGTGGCACCTCCCTGCCCATCTCTGTGTGTGTGTGTGTGGGGCTGTGGCACCTCCCTGCCCATCTGTGTGTGTGTGTGGGGCTGTGGCACCTCCCTGCCCATCTCTGTGTGTGTGTGTGTTCCCACACTCCAGCCACCGTCTCACGCTCTCCACACTACAGCCACCGTCCCACGCTCCCGTCCACACTCCAGCCACCGTCCCACGCTCCCCACACTCCAGCCACCGTCCCATGCTCCTCCACACTCCAGCCACCGTCCCACGCTCTCCACACTCCAGCCACCGTCCCACGCTCTCCACACTCCAGCCACCGTCCCACGCTCTCCACACTCCAGCCTCCAGCCACCGTCCCACGCTTCCCACACTCCAGCCACCGTCCCACGCTCTCCACACTCCAGCCACCGTCCCACGCTCTCCACACTCCAGCCACCGTCCCACGCTCTCCACACTCCAGCCACCGTCCCACGCTCTCCACACTCCAGCCACCGTCCCACGCTCTCCACACTCCAGCCACCGTCCCACGCTCTCCACACTCCAGCCACCGTCCCACGCTCTCCACACTCCAGCCACCGTCCCACGCTCTCCACACTCCAGCCACCGTCCCACGCTCTCCCACACTCCAGCCACCGCTCCCACACTCGTCCCCACACTCCAGCCACCGTCCCACGCTCTCCACACTCCAGCCACCGTCCCACGCTCCCCACACTCCAGCCACCGTCCCACGCTCCCCACACTCCAGCCACCGTCCCACGCTCCCCACACTCCAGCCACCGTCCCACGCTCTCCACACTCCAGCCACCGTCCCACGCTCTCCACACTCCAGCCACCGTCCCACGCTCTCCACACTCCAGCCACCGTCCCACGCTCTCCACACTCCAGCCACCGTCCCACGCTCTCCCACACTCCAGCCACCGTCCCACACTCTCCCCACACTCCAGCCACCGTCCCACGCTCTCCACACTCCAGCCACCGTCCCACGCTCCCCACACTCCAGCCACCGTCCCACGCTCCCCACACTCCAGCCACCGTCCCACGCTCTCCACACTCCAGCCACCGTCCCACGCGTCCCACACTCCAGCCACCGTCCCACGCTCCCCACACTCCAGCCACCGTCCCACACTCCAGCCACCGTCCCACGCTCTCCACACTCCAGCCACCGTCCCACGCTCTCCACACTCCAGCCACCGTCCCACACTCCAGCCACCGTCCCACGCTCCCCACACTCCAGCCACCGTCCCACGCTCTCCACACTCCAGCCACCGTCCCACGCTCTCCACACTCCAGCCACCGTCCCACGCTCTCCACACTCCAGCCACCGTCCCACGCTCTCCCCACACTCCAGCCACCGTCCCACGCTCTCCACACTCCAGCCACCGTCCCACACTCCAGCCACCGTCCCACGCTCTCCACACTCCAGCCACCGTCCCACGCTCTCCACACTCCATGGGAATCAAGGAATCCCCATGGAGGGGACGAAACGTGGGGAGCAAAATTAGTAGATGTTATAGACAGGAATTTCCTGACACAACATGTGAAGGAAGACACAAGGGAAAGAGGAGGAGATGCACCGAGCCTATTAGACCTGATTTTTCACCCAGAACGTAGAAGATATCGAGAATTTAGAGCATGAAATACCTCTAGGGGCCAGTGACCATTGTGTCCTAGTCTTTGACTACATGATGGAATTCAAACTTATGACCATGGGACAAGAGATCTGGGAAAGGGAGCTGACTACAGGAAAGGGGACTATATGAGGATGAGGGACTATCTGGGTGAAGTGCAGTGGGAGGAAGAAATTAGAGGAAAACAGTCCAAGAATATGATGGACCTAGTCATACAGAAATGCCAGGAGGCCGAAGAGAGATTTATACCAACGGTAAAGGAAAAAATAAGAAGGAATATAATAACCCATGGTTTAATAGACAGTGTCAGGAAGCAAAATGGCCAGCAGGCGGGAGTGGAGGAAGTACAGAAGACAAGAACAGAGGACAACAGAAGCAGATACAACAGAGCTAGAACGATTACATTAACATAAGACGAACATCGGAAAGGGACTATGAGAACGATATTGCAATCAAAGCGAAAAACACTCAAGTTACTACACAGTCATATATAAGAAAAATGTCGGTGAACGACCAAGTGACAACACTAAGGAAGACAGAGGGGCATATACTGAAAGTGACAAGGAATCTGCGAGGCAACTGAAATGCCAGTTTCCATGGAGTGTTCACTACCGAGCCTGAGCAGCTCCCATTGTTGGAAGGGGTTACCCTAGATGAAAGACTATCAGATATAGAGGTGACAGCAGAGAGGTAATGAAACATTTTGACAACTCTAGATGCACTAAAGCAGTTGGACCAGACAAAGTATCACCGTGGATACTAAAAGAAGCAGCACAGGCCCTCAGCGTGCCTCTGGCAATGATCTTTAATGAGTCACTTATGTCAGGAGAATTGCCCAGTTGCTGGAAGAAGGCAAATGTCGTGCCGATCTTCAAGAAAGGAGATAGGGAGGAGGCACTTAACTACAGACCTTTATCACTGACAAGCATCCCCTGTAAAATACTGGAAAGAATAATTAGGCTACGACGGTTGCACACCTGGAGAACATTAGGTTTGTGAACAAACATCAACATGGGTTCTGGACAGGGAAATCGTGCCTAACAAACCTTCTGGAATTCTATGATAAAATAACGAGGATAAGACAGGACAGAGATGGTTGGGCAGACTGCATATTTCTGGACTGCCAAAAAGCCTTTGATACAGTACCGCACATGAGACTGCTGTTCAAGCTCGAGAGGCAGGCGGGGGTGGGGGAAAGGTCCTAGAATGGATAGGAACTACCTAACAGGAAGGAGCCAAAGAGTTACGGTAAGGGGCGAGAAGTCGGACTGGCGAACAGTAACAAGTGGAGTACCACAAGGATCGGTGCTGGGACCAATTCTATTTCTTGTATATGTTAACGACATGTTTACAGGCGTAGAGTCCTACATGTCGATGTTTGCGGATGATGCAAAGTTGATGAGAAGAGTTGTGACAGATGAGGATTGCAGGATCCTCCAAGAGGACCTGAACAGATTGCAGAGATGGTCAGAGAAATGGCTACTAAATTCAACACGAGCAAATGTAAAGTTTATGGAAATGGGACTAGGAGATAGGAGACCAAAGGGACAGTACACAATGAAGGGGAACAGCCTACCTGTAACGACGCGTGAAAGAGACCTGGGGGTGACGTAACACCTAATCTATCTCCTGAGGCACATATTAATAGGATAACGACAGCAGCGTACTCTACACTGGCAAAAGTTAGAACATCATTCAGAAACCTAAGTAAGGAGGCATTTAGGGTGCTTTACACTGCCTACGTAAGGCCAGTCTTAGAGTATGCCGCCTCATCATGGAGTCCCCATCTGAAGAAGCATATAATGAAACTGGAAAAGGTTCAGAGGTTTGCAACGAGACTCGTCCCAGAGCTACGAGGGATGGGGTATGAAGAGCGCCTGAGGGAACTGTGCCTTACGACACTAGAAAGAGAGAAGGAGAGGGGGGACATGATAGGAACGTATAAGATACTCAGAGGAATTGACAGAGTGGACATAGACGAAATGTTCACACGGAATAGTAACAGAACGAGAGGACATGGATGGAAGCTTGAAACTCAGATGAGTCACAGAGATGTTAGGAAGTTTTCTTTTAGCGTGAGAGTAGTGGGGAAATGGAATGCACTTCAGGAACAGGTTGTGGAAGCAAATACTATTCATAATTTTAAAACCAGGTATGATAGGGAAATGGGACAGGAGTCATTGCTGTAAACAACCGATGCTCGAAAGGCGGGATCCAAGAGTCAATGCTCGATCCTGCAAGCACATATAGGTGAGTACATATAGGTGAGTACACACACACACACACACACACACACACTCCTCCCTGGGTGCAGGAACCACCTCTCCCAGCGTCCCAGAACTGTGCCAGGCGCATCACTCCACCATTCGACACATTTACAACCTCCAGATGTCGAAAATCATCGCCCAATTTGCCCAATTTACGATGAGTTGAGAAACGAATTGGCACTTCGCTTTGCTCTACTCGACTTCACAAGCGGAAACATTCAATGTTCTTCTAACCAGTTTATTGATTTTGACTTAAAAATGTATGTCGTTATTTTTTCTTTCTCTTGGAGGGAGAACTTATGATAGAATACAATATATTGTCTTTGATCTATTACCAAGATATTAGATCCATTGATGTTTATTCATGTCTCTGCTTTGGTTCAAATTTTTATATCTTTATATTATATATATATAATATATATATATATATAATATATATATATATATATATATATATATATATATATATATATATATATATATACAGCCCTGCTATCTTACTCTGTAGTAGTTGCTCCGTTGCATTGTTAAGCTGGTCCACACCATTATTTCCCTGTGTTCTACTCTTTGTTGACAGATTTACTTCATCCTGTCTCCAGTTTTTGCCATTTTCTGGTCGCTTTGCATTTCTCATTAGTGTTCTTCTCTAGGTCACTTTGCTGCCTCCCTTTCCTCCTTATACATATTCTGACTAATAAACACGTCATGGAGCTTTTCTTCATTTCTCAAATATCGCTTCTCTTCCAGTATATATTTTACTTGGTCGTTATTCATAAAAAAACTTACACTGGTCAATTTTTTCTATTCTGAAACTTGCCTAGCCTGCAGAAATACTCACATTTCCTTGTTGCTTCTCTGGCCGGAATTTTGTGTAGCATTCCTGTAAATTAATTATGTTCTCTCTCTCCTTATTTGCCACGTGTCCTCTTCAGGCTCTGGCAGGTTGCATATTTCCACTCATCTCTCCCTCTCCAACTCCTGTCGAGCACATTTCATGACTTGGGTAACTTTTACAGTCTCAAACATTGTTTCCTTTATTACCTTCTCTCACCCTGGAACCTTTGCTGCGTCAGCAAAGGTTTTGTCTGGTCTTACTC